AACACTGGTTCTTTTTACACAAGCATCATTTCAGTTCAAAATTAATTAAAATGCATATATATTTCCTTAAAAATACAGAAAAATCAGGAATGACACAAATTTCTTGAGAAAATTGAGAATAATCCAGGAATTTCAAAGAAAAGTAGGAAACATGAAATATACACATAATCAGCACAACAGTAAAATAATTCAACCCAATCATACACGTTGACCATAAGCTATACATGTCAAATTGGCACGAGTAACACTGCACCAAGGATATTAATGTGTTAATCATGGTCTTACCATCACAAATACGAACTATACAGTTAGATATCAAGCAATAATTAACATTCAGTTCGTTAAAAAGATGCCTATATGTGACTGCGCCATGTCAAAATGTTTTGCTGTCGGAAGAGTCTGAAGCTTCCACCATTAACTTCTTTAAACATTTTCATTTGCTAGCTTTAGGAAACCTGCAAATCAGAAACGAACAATGTAGTTACTATACAATATAAAATTTGAAACTAGATATAAGCGCATATTTTTTTACTTACATGTATGTTTTCGAAAGGAGTAGATATAAACATAATAAGCAGACACTGATTTATGTTCTTATGAATAATTTTTTCTTCTTCGATTGCTGGATGCACACTGCATGAAAGGTATCATTTGGCAAGAAAGAATGTTAAACTGAAAACAATTTTGAAACAATCCTTATAGCTTCAATTGTACATACACTAGCCCAATTCATTTTGAGAAAAGTGTAAAATGGACACAAATAATGGATGATGCCAACTCCAACGCACGACCCCATCCTGCTCGCGTCTATCCGTATAGACCGCGCCTTTAATGTTATGTCCATAAGTCAAGGCCGAGGTCTGCCAGAGGTACAGGGAGACGGGCACGCTGCTGCCGGGACGGATATGGGGACATCCGGACACACCCAGACGCGGGCGCCACATCAGATCGGTTGGCTAGGTCCCGCGCCGCCCCCACTGATGACCCCACAAATACCCCACCCCCGTCGGACGAACCCTAGTCATACCCTCACTTTCTCAGTCCACACTCATCTTATCCGCTTCCCTCATCGCCTCCGCTTCCTCCCAAATCCATCTCCCCTCCGCCATGGCCAAGTCCGGTCAGGATTCCGGCAGCGAGCCCGATCCCATGGATTGGGACGGTCTCATGAAGGAGGAGGACGACCGATCTAGCAGCGGCGTGCCGGACGAGGAGAAGCCCGCGCTCTGCATCGCCATCAAGTGCTCGCGCTTGGACACCGGCGGGAGCACAAGCTCCATCGCGTCTGCTAGCTCCTCCACCTCCCGCCGGCAAAATGCGGGCCGTGGTCGCCCGCCCGCCCCGCTCTGCGCCGTTCAAGATTCAGTGCAGGGAGGGTGTGTCCCTTCCCCTCAGGCGCCAGCACCTGCAGTCCCACTCCGCGTTTTACATTTTATCTAGTTTTACATTCTTTGTAGTAATCCGACGAACAATGTCTTTTGGGTCTGATTGGCAATGAACTATGCTCTAAATTTATCGTTCGACTTGTATTAGGGACTCATATTAGGCAATTCTGGTTGTAGATGCTCTAACATACTACCTGATTTTTTTTGCCTATGCTCAAACATAATAGGATTGAAAATAAAATAAACCATGGTTCAATTGCCTAGTACAGGAGGGAACAACTTGAATGGGATTAACTTTCAACGTTCTCAATGGTTAAATTGAACTGTTAGCTTAATTAATACTAGTACTCCCTGCCAAAAAAACTAGATACCCTACTTTCACCAGTGAAATTAAATTACAATAGCTAATACTTTTTTACGCAATTAATTAGATACACCATTATTATGGGCAAGACAAGCAAACTTCAGGTTATCCTAAAGATTCAGAGTTAAAATTAGGACAATGCTAGCCCCTTCCATATGTTATTTTTCAGACCACATCATATTCTTTGCACGACTGTATATGTACAGAGACAATAGGCATGTACCTAGTTTAGCACAAACACACTAGGCATGTAGCCGATTTAAGAGGCAGTAACTTGGCAAGAATGGGGCAAAGTAAATAAATTAGAAAGTTTACTTTCAAGATCTGGTACATAACATCACAAGATTGTTCAGGAACCAAATCTGAGACTAAGCATAGCTAGATATATGAATCGAAGGATTAAACTGCGTATTAAGTTCAGCATATGAGCACACTAGCCGCAATATTTAGGCCACCACTAAACCTGAGGTAATTTTCTTCGGCTTAAAACTGATGTTAAATTGCAGAAGTATATTATACATTGTCAACATCATGTAGAATATCATTGTATTTTCTCTGTTAACTTTGTTAGAAGAGACCACATGTATATGAATGTATATATTTTGTAAAAGTACGATATTTGAGAAGAATGCCAACAGATTCTCAAAAATAAATAAATAAATAAGGCCAAGAGTGGGAGCTTTTATCTCCCCTCAAAAGTCCAACGGGCCAAAGGTTGTTAGAATCTATATATCATAAGACTGACATAACAAATTGAGATGGCCTGGTCCCAGTGAAGTGTTTGATCTAATCGAGAGACACCTACCTCTACTGATCTACAACTGCCAAAGTCACTACGGATGCAGCAAGAAAGCAGAGCCAGAGGTTGCCTGTGGATCTGGAGCTGTAAGACTGCACATGGCGAAGGGAGGAAGGCATCAACACGGAGAAGCAAACTAGAGACGAGGGGGGGGGAGGAGAATGGGGATAACCTTGGTCGCAGTAGGAAGAGGAATGTCACGCTGTCGCTGTCGCCGCCGGCGTCGCCCTAGGGAAGAAGAGCTTCGTGACTGAGTTGAGCTCGGAGGATGGAGGACGATGACGACCGGGGCCGTCGATGTCGCTGGAGGGCACGAGCGAGGAGGCGCGGCCCTCCGCGGCGTCGCCGCCGGTAGTCCGAGGGAGAATCTTGGGAGGGGTGGAGGCGTGGATCCAGTCGGTCGCCTCTCGAGCTCGAGGGTTTCCTCCCCGACCTGTTGATGCGTGGAAGTCTCTCCCGGGGAAGGCCCGGGGAAAGGACAGGGGTTGTGTGCGACCAAATAGCGTCGTGGGCTCACCGGGGGTCAATTCAACCCGTGGTTTTCCCACACGGGGAATTGGAAGGGATCCCCCCGGGATCCACCGCAACCAGGCCTTATCGTCTGTGTGCGACCTGAGCGTAGTGCTCCCAGCGAGCGCTATATAGCCACTCGCAATTAGATAACACAAAGTTCAAAAAGAAAAAGCCACGGATGGAGTTTGATACATACTGACACTAAAAGCATGTATTCCAAACTGCTGGATGGAAGTCACGGAAGGCAGCAAGATGGACCATGAATGATCATGACAGTTTTGTTGCCAAGCAGGCAAAGCATCCAAGTAGCTTGATGGCGATGCAGGCAGGGAACCAAACAAGTACAATAAAGTCAGGCCAAACCATTCTATCAGGCGGAAATCCTAGCTAGCTTTCTTGCAGCCACGCAACCTTTCGCGCTATCAAGCAGGAATCCTACCTAGCTTTGTTTTTTTTAGAAAGATGCATGAGAGGAGAAAAATACACACCTTCACATCAGTGCTTGGCTTCTCCTCTGCACAAAGTGTGTCAATATAGGAGCTTCTGAGCAGCTTCCTGTGTAATTTATAAGATCATCTTCCGTTCTTATCCTCAATGGAATGTAAAGCTAGAGGATGGTTTATATACACAGATAGATGCAGGTCTTGCTTCATTATTTATCAGATGGCGCAGTCAACACCAACACCAATACCCCGCAAAAAATATCTAATAATTAATTAGTATACCATCGTGCCTTTAAGTTCTGTACACCTAATCTAGAAATCTTGCCTCCGCCAATGCTTCAATCCCATAGATGAGTGCAATGAGTACACACCCGATTCAAGAGTGCAATGGGGCCACGTAACCCGCGTCCCCGCGGGTTTTTACCAAATTAGGAGACGAGGATGGGTGTCTTTCTAGCCCTGCCGGGATGCTATTGGGTACATTGTAAAAGCCGACATGTTTCGCGGGTTCAAACCCGTTTCAGTAGTACTCAAACCCAAAACCCGCCATACCCGTTAAAATACGTAGCATATCCACTGATCCACCAATTTCTACCCATCCACTGATCCAGCTTCGACCGTCAACTACACGACAGGGCCTTTGTTGCTGAAATGCTATTGTATTATGCTAAAATATGCTCCTTTCCTGAAGTTATTGTTGAAATGTTGCTGAAATATACTATTGTATTGTACTGAAATATGCTCAAATTTTGCTGCTGAAATATACCACGTTTGAAGCTAAAATGCTATTCCATGGTGGCTACTATTTCTATCATGTTTTGCTGCTTCAATATGCTGATTTTTTCTACAGCCATTGTTGTATATGCTCATGTTTTTTTATAGCTGTTGTGTTTGCTAACTGCTCGCGGGAGAGGTTCCTCGCAGGATCAAAAAACCCGACTGGTTTAGGGAACGCGCAAAAAGCTGGCCCCGTGCATGGGGACGGGGATTGTCCAAGCAAAACCAGGCAGGTTTTGTCCCCGTTGCCATCTTGACACCCGATCTTTCCATCAATTCGATTTATGAATCGTACACCAATACACACTGATAATCACGCCAATGAAGAGCAAAGTCATACCTCAAATAGATTGGATCCGCCCAAAAACTTATCATCATTTTTCCTTTTCTATTTTGCCATTTAAAATCCACTATACATCGTCCAACACCCCTTAAGGCTGTCCAGGTAACATGTCATAACTCACAACACATAATACATGCCTAAAAATACGTTCCATAAGTGTGATGGCCCTTCGGCATTCATAACCCTACCCTGATTTTGGTAAAGTCACGTAGGACATGATCCAAATATTATTACCGTGACCTCCGATTCTGAGAGACCGGAAAGATGTTTAGATTTCTAATTTCATCGTTGTTTGTAGTAACATAAAACAGAGTAGACAGTTTGGATGACTGCCAGAACTAAGCCAATGGCAGCTGCCAGGAGGCCAACGGCTAGCCAGGGGTTCCTCAAGTACCTCTGCTTTAGCCACGCAATCCACCTCCGCGGCTGGCTCTGGAACCGCTTCTCAAGCTTCTTGCATGTCTCCCGAAGGTAGTTGCAGTTGGGGTCATCCGGGTCGAACTGGATCCCCTTGCAAAGGTCGGCGAAGCATTTGGCCACCTCTTCATTGTTGCCATGGCCATGCACGATGACGCCTCTCTTCGACAGGAGCTCCACGTCCTTCGTGGTGCAGGCCACCTGGGATATGAACACGCAGTATGCCGTGACGTGGCTCCCCACTGTCTCCCGGTTACGTTGCTCCAGCTCTATCAAGTTTCGTAATAACCGCCATGTCTCGGAGTCGATGTCCAGGCATGGGACCTCCAGAGTGCCTCCACTGCCGTCCAACTTGACGTCGAGGATGCAGCGGATGAGACCCTTCTCGCCCATGGCCCGAGCCTTGAACTTCACTCCTACGAAGTTGTACTCCGTCGCCGAGCGCCACCGGCGCACGGGATCGGCAGTGCAAACCGGCATGGCAGGCGAGACAGAGAGTGGTTTCAAGTGCATATGAAGAAGATGGAGAAGATTACCGGGTACCGCCTGCTCTGGCAGCACCATGGCCGGCGCGGCCATGGCGTACATTTGTCTCCTCATGAGATCAAGGGCATAATCCGAGATCTCTGTAAGCACACCATCCTTACCGTCCAAAGTGGTCAGCTCCCCGATCTTCTCAAGGACGAAGAACGGTATCTGGTTCTCCGCGAGATAGAACACGTCGCGGACCACAGCTAGCGCCTCCGCCCTGTTTGCCGACGAGACGGCGGCCTCCGCAGTCCCCACATCATCTAGATCTAGATGATGTGATCTGAGGCCGACAAGGCGGGACAGTATGTAACAGCCGTCGAGGAGCAGCATGCGCACGAATTGCTCGCTCGTCATGTCATCAAATGTGTTGGCGTAGCAGTTCCTGGTGTCACGCTCCAGGCATGCCAGCTCCTTGACATAGACCTCCACCGTCATGGTCGGTCTTGCTGCCTTTGCCGCTGAGAGCACCATGTCGAGGCTTGCCAGCTTTTCATGCTCCACGGCGAGGTGTGGGTTGTTGCTCTGGGGCCGAGGGTAGTTGTACGGGCCGATGGCGACGTGGTCAGGATCGTACTCGCTGCTGTCGACGTTGCGCGTGAGGTCGCGGACCTTGCCGACGACGATGGAACAAGGACGGCAAACATCGCCGCCCTGCGCCTTGGACGAGTTCAGGGTGGCCAGCTTATCTTCCAGCTCATGGGCCAGCTGATGCATCTCCAGGACGCAGGAATCCGAATCCGTAGATTGGCCTGCAGACAGTCCATCGATCAGCCCCAAACAGATTGTGATTTGTTTTTTGAAACTAATTACTAGTACTAATTACAAGATAAAATTGAACAGACGGGATGATAAGTTCATTGGGCACCTTTTTGATCCATTTGCTTGTCCACCGATGGCCTTACGCTGCCGCCGAGCAGAGTAGCATGCAGTTGCACTAGTGGTCTCCAAACACTTGTTCCTGTCTTCGTGTCCCAGCATGCATGATAATGCAGCAAGGCCGGCAAGCGCCTTCCAGCGCTAGTTTACAGCGAGAATCGCGAGGTAGGGGACGGTGATGGAGGGAGACGAGAGACACTTGATTTGTGGGGTGCAGCTGAGACATCGGGGCGAGACGAAGGGATAAGGCCGATGCACTGTTTCACCTAAAAAGAAAGAAAGAATCCGATGGAATGTTTTGGCTTGCCGTGATTTGGCCTTTGTGCTTGTGTGGTATCGCAGTGCTCCATCGCCATCAGGCCAGGCCTAGGCGCTCCACCAGCCATGACGAAAGGAGCGACTTTCCATCACCATCAGGTCTGGTCTGGCGGGCCTAGGGCTCGCTATAGCCCCGCTTTAGCTATTGAGAGGTCTCCCGCTAAAACTATGCATTTTAAAACCAAATTGAAAATGACGCTAATAGCCCGCTAGATTTTTGCAACAGTGCTAAATTTGAAGTCATTTAGCCCACTAAGCCGCTATACAAAGCTATCGTTCTGCATTGATGTGAAGCTTGGTTATTGAATTAGAACGTCTGATTGGTGCTCGGGTTTTGGTGTGCAAACACGTGTATAATGTCAAGTATATGCAATATACCATATATGATGCCTGGTTATATATATTTTTCTTGATTTAGAAAAAATACACTTAGCTTCGCTATAGCTTCGCTAAATGACATAGCCCGTTATTTAAAACATTGATAGTTTTCGAGAGTTGTTTTTTAGGACCGGGTGTCTAGGCACCCTCTTATCTCCACCGCCGGATTAGAATTCAGCTCCTAGAGTTATGTATGAAGCCCTGTAGCACACATTCGATTAGCAGGTCTAGCTGTTTACTAAGCGCGGGAGGATCGACAAATTTGAATTGAACCTGGCCTAGCCTCGGACTGTTCGCAGAAACAGACAGAGACGTCGAGTTGGCATGTCGGCCCGTGTTTCTAGGTGTAGGGCAACGCAAGGTTGAAGGATCCCATTCTTTGATTTTCTCACCTCCGTCGCGAACACTGATGAATGAAGAATATATTGGGGCGATATGTGAACCCGGCAGGCCCCACATTGACCAGTCCGTCATGGAATGATTGAAATCTAGAGCAGATACAACACATGCACCGCCCTGGTGCTTCATAAATGACATCTATAGCAGATACACCACATGCACCGCTCTATGGGTTGTCCTTTCAACGATGGCCCGCCTGGCCTCCAGGTCTACAGCGGTGACATCCGTGACCTCTTGCATGCCTACTATTCGCTACTACAGTTTTTCTCGGTAAATTACCTTGCTTAATTAACCTGACATCACATGTGGCGTGCTGATGGCTAGGATACTGCACGACCCTTCATCTCGCTGAATGGCTCTGATAAAGGAGTTGTCGGGGCTGCAGGGTGCTATCGCACCTTTTCGTTTTCGTATATGTAACTGCTAGGTTGTATACGTTTTGTTGTTGGATCAGATAATCAGATTTTTACTTCTTTTATGGCTATATACAGATAGCCGCAACTATATGGTTACATCGTTCCCAGTAATTTGTAGAAAAGAGCGTTAATCATGATCTAATACATAGAATCAAGAGCAGCCAAGTAGCTGTACTCCTTTCTCGGCTGGCCGGTGCTGCTGCCTCTAGGCTGATGGCGATGATCCCTGGGTATTTCTGCTTCCATGAGTTTGTTTTTTTCCTGGCCCATCGTAGCCCAGATTCAAGCCATGTCTAGCCCTGTACAACCCAAACCGTATACTTATAGTAACCAAGTCTGAAAAAAAACATCACATGACCCACGACCACGTAAGACCTGCCGAATCCAATCATTCACGCAGCTCCATCAATCTCGCGAGCACTCACGCAGTAGATCTCCAACGGCGGCTATCTCGTCGCCAGCGATCTCGTCGGACAGCGGGCGCGGCAACGTCGTGAATCTCCAGTGCTCACATGTATCGCATCCCGCATCCCCCCGCTCCCTTCTAGTCTCGCTCGCGGCAAACATCGAATGAACTTCCACCGTCAGAGGCAGTGGTTAACCTAGCGGGGCAGGTAACCTACCTACCCGGCGGCGCAGGCGATCGTGGATCTTGTTCCGGTAGTGCTGCTCCTCGTGATCTGGGTTTCTTCCGTGTAGGGTTCACGTAGCGTCGGTTGCCGTCGGCTGTGTCCACCACGACTATCGTTATTTGATGTCGCGGCTAACCTAGGTATCCGGCGGCAGAGGTAATCACAGATCTAGCTAGGTTTTGTAGTGTTGCTCCTCGCGATGATCTAGAGGTGATCATGATGGGTGTCGTGGCCATCTTCCTGACTAGGTTTGGCAGATCTGAATGGCCTCGGTTGGGGTTGTTTACATAACATCCGTGATCGTGTGCTATGTGTTGTATATTTCTTCATTGATAATGTTTGCACATGTGTTGATACATATTATTTGTTGTAGGAAAATGGCGGACGAGGAGTTAACTGATATCATGATAGACATGGAGTTTGGAGAACTGATGAAAGACTGGATAGAAGATTGGTCAAATGATGAAAATTTAGATCGTGGAGATCGGTCAGAGAATGGGAGCGAATGGGAAGATCTTAATGTGAGTGCCATTATCATGTTGTAAATTTTTGGCGACATCGACAACATTATATTTTTGTGTTGGAAATTTATAGATGGATGAGCTTGATGATGGTCAGGAAACAAACTCAGAGCTCTCGAATGAAGATTATATTAGTCAGGTACGGAAGTGAAAATTTTTGTCGGCATGCAAATTGAATTTTTCCTAGAATATTATATGATAAGTAATTATGTATTTGTGTTGTATTTTTCAACTCATTTCCAAATGTCATAGTGCGTACGACTATTACGGTGAATCCGACGCGGAGACAGGCCTTAACAACGAATCTTTAGATGCACCTGATTCTGGGGATTCGCAGTCGTCGGTCATCATGAGTGACGTATGTGTGTAATCAATGTTCTATGGAAGTAATGTTAAACCATAGAAAAATGTTTTCATGGCTATGTTTCGATTGTGTAGGTGACAGAAGATGATGAGGCAAAGAATGTCCAAGATACTGCCAGTGCAGATGATAAGAGGGATATGTTCATGCAGATAATGGAAATGACTTTTATGTCTCACGATGCTGCGTATGATTTCTACAACAACTATGCTAGAGATAATGGTTTCAACATTAGAAAGAATAAGGTCAGGTATAGCAAAACCGAGTCACATCATATGTGTTATAGGCGGTTTGTTTGTTCTAGACAAAGGAAACGTGACAGCAAGTTGCTAACCGAGGAAGGACACAGCCGTAGGCTCAGAGCCGAGACACGCTGCTTTTGCGAAGCACACCTGACCGTCAAGCTTGACCGAAAGCGTGGGTTTTGGTATGTTGAAAGTTTTGAGGACAAGCATAGCCATATGTTGGCAGGACCGGACGAGGTACCTTTTCTTTGGTCCCACAGAAAAATCAAAGAGTACCAGAAGCATGAGATAATGTCCATGGGAGCTGCAGGGATTAGAATTCACGACATGACGGATTCCTTCATCAGCACACATGTATGGTATGGTGGTGTTGGTTTCACCAGGCGTGAAATATACAACCTTTGTGCCAGGGAGAAGAGGAAGCTGCTTTCAAAAAGTGATGCTACCACAGCCATAGGCATCAGGGATCCTAGCTTCTTTTTCGAGTACAAGCTAGATAAGGAAGGAAACTTTAATAGGATGTTCTGGTGTGACTTCTAGTCTCGTCATGACTATGAGGACTTCGGCGACGTGCTTGTATCTAACAACACGTACAAGATGAACCGCTATGGTATGCCATTCATAACTTTTATTGGTCTTAACAATCACCGAAAGACCATTGTTTTTGGTTGTGCCATAGTTCTGGACGAGACTGAAGAGACATACATGTGGCTGCTGCAGACATTTTTGAGGTCCATGTGTCAGAAGATGCCGAAGAGTGTAATCACGGGCGCCAACGCTGCAATGATCAAGGCAATTTGCGAAGTCTTGCCAGACGTGTGGCATCGTATATGTACGTGGCATATTGAAAAAAATATGAAGATTCACCTCAGTCACAAGTCCTTGAAGGAGTTCCGAACTTTTCTGTACTACAACACGTCCACGACCACGTTTGAGGAGAGATGGCACGCGTTTTCCAAAAGATGGCAGTCGGAAAAAACCGTAACATGGTTGAGACAGATGTATCAGAAGAGGAGACTGTGGGTCGCAGCTTATCTAACAGAGGGGTTTTGGCTTGGCTTGAAAAGCAACCAGCGGAGTGAAAGCCTGAACTCATGCCTTCACCTCCACCTAGACGGTGAAATGACCCTAGTTGATATGATTTTGCATTGTGAGAACGTCATTGTATGTATCCGTGAAAATGATGTGCGAGATGACTGCACGGCCTCACAGAGTTTGCCGGTGCCAGTTACTAACTCGAGGGAATGAGATAGCTGCTTCTCACGTCTTCACTCCAGCAAACTTCTATATGTTGCAAGATGATCTTAGAAAAATTGACGGCATGGAGATTGCAGAAATTAAGCTGGGAGACGGATCATAGCAGTACATCGTGGCCTGGAACAATAACTGGAAGAGCCATTTTTGGGTGGAGTATGCACCAGTAAATTCCGCATAACCTATAAGGTGCAGCTGCAGAAGAATGACTTGAAAGGGTCTACCTTGCAAGCACATATTCCATGTACTGAAGTACTTGAACATATATGAAATACCAAAGTGTTTAGTTCTTGTTCGGTTCATGAAAGAAGCAAGGTTGGGACTGCCTGCGGGGCACACAAGCGATCTGTTGGGATTTGGTTTGTCTGGGGCAGGGGAAAGAATGAAATATAGCTAGGTTAGTGTGTTAGCGTCACAAGCTATGCATGCGGCATGCAAACACCCAGCTTTGTGGGATCAGTTACAGGAGAGTTTGAAG